ATTTAATATATATTTAAATCACCAATCCTATTCCGCAATGCCGGACACGTGTCTGATCAAGTTGAAAAGCCTTTTGTCTCTGTGTGAGAGAGTGCGAGAGTGAGAGAAAGAGAGAGTGAACAAAGACGTAAAGAATGTGAGATTGTGATTCGAACCATTGCCAACAGAAGAATGGTTAAGTCGACTTTGGAATCTTTTCATTGCACACTTTTACGGTCAACAATTATAAATAAATAGATTCGTATAAACTCACATTTTCTTGCTATATCTTGATGCATACTCAGTCGTCTTACATCTTCACATGAAGTGACTTGAACCCTTCTTTTGACCCTCTTTTCGTTGCAGATTGCCTCAAATTCCGACTTTCTTAGCTCCACTGAGCCGCCTCGCGACTCGCTCTCTGACCATGAAGTCCAACCACCCACGCCCCACTGTCGACCCGGAGACCTGATGGACAGACAATCTCTGCGATTGTCTCAGGCCTCCTCCGGCCTCGTAAAGCCCGCCGACGAATCGGCAAAGCCCCATGAAGGTCTTCCTCGTGCTCTACACATCGCTGCCGACGTTCATCTGCAGCCTGGTCTCTCGCCACGTCACGATTGGCACCTACAGTCGGTCCAGCAACAACAACCTTCTCAGCCTCACCTGCACACTCAGACCAACCCTTCGTTTCGGCCTCAACACCAGCACCAACCGCGTCCGGTGCATCAATCACAGCATCTGGCACTCTCGTCTTCAATACCTCATGCGTCTTCGTTCGCCTCCTCTCCCTGCTCCTTTGGTCCCACTGTCTCTCTACCTCCTCACATGCATGCTGCTCCTGCTCCGCTCTTTCCTTCCCATCCTTCTTCACCCTCTCCTTCTCCTCCCTCTTGCCCACCGTCTATTCCTCATCCACCCCCTCCTTCTCCCCCACCTCCCCCACCTCGACAGACTCCGCCCCTTACATCACTAGTCGCCGGATCCTCTTACCCTTATTTGGGCACGATGGATCGACAAAAATCTTCACTTTCTCACGCAAGCGACCAGCAAACAAATTAGACAAAGAGAGGAGAGCTTATGCTACTCCGACAACTCAACCCCATTGTACACATTG